AGTTCAAGTCGTGTGTGTGCCTTAACAGTAGATTCACACTCCAAATAATTCTACTCTGATAGTAATATTCAGTAGTTCATTGTATTTCACAAAGATTCAAAGATTTAAATCCTACCTAAAACACAGCTGCACTACCAGATACTTGAATATGGATGTGTTTATGAGGTGATTTAAATTTTTGTAAGATAAACAGACTTTTAGTCTTTCTTTATGTGTTTGAATTTACAGCACCGAGCTAGGCCACATCTGTTAGTTCTACTTACTTTACAGTAGACTGGTCAAAGCTGGGCCACATCTGTTAGTTCTAGTCACGTTACAGTAGATGGGCCAGAACTGGGCCACGTCTGTTAGTTCTACTCACTTTACAGTAGATGGGCCAGAACTGTGCCACGTTTGTTAGTTCTGGTCGCTTTACAGTAGATGGGCCAGAACTGGGCCACGTCTGTTAGTTCTACTCACTTTACAATAGATGGGCCAGAACTGGGCCACGTCTGTTAGTTCTACTCACTTTACAGTAGACGCGCCAGAACTGGGCCACATCTGTTAGTTCTACTCACTTTACAGTAGACGGGCCAGAACTGTGCCACATCTGTTAGTTCTACTCACTTTACAGTAGACGGGCCAGAACTGTGCCACATCTGTTAGTTCTACTCACTTTACAGTAGACGGGCCAGAGCTGGGCCACGTCTGTTAGTTCTACTCACTTTACAGTAGATGGGCCAGATCTGGGTCACGTCTGTTAGTTCTACTCACTTTACAATATATGGGCCAGAGCTGGGCCACGTCTGTTAGTTCTACTCACTTTACAATAGATGGGCCAGGGCTGGGCTGCAGCTGTTGCCCAGTTGTACTCATTTTACAGTGTGTGGGCCTCATCTGGGCCACATCCATTAGTTCTATTCACTTTACAGTATATGGGCCAGATCTGGGCCAGAACAAAACCAAGGATATGGCCCATAAGTGGGCCAAATAAATTTTGCTCTCCATTATATACCAGGCAGAAAGGCAAAGCGCTGAACTTACGTCACCACTAAGTAACATCAAACCCAGGCTCAATCTCAAATGGCTCTGTACACCCTAAATGGTGTGCCATGTAAGCTTTGAAGCTTTGTTGAGTATCCATGTGACTGAAACCCAAATGACTATGTTTAGCTTAACATTACATCCTGTTCAGTAGAGAAATTATAATTTCAGTGTTTCCTCCTGATTCACACTCCAAATAATTCTACTCTCATTGTAATATTCAGTAGTTCATTGTATTTCACAAAGAATCAAAGATTTAAATCCTGCCTAAAACACAGCTACACTACCAGATACTTGCTAAGAGGTGATTTACACTTTTTGTAAGATGAACAGACTTTTAGTCTTTCTTTATGTTTGAACTTACAGCACAAAAATAAGAACCCTAAACATCAGAGTGTGACACTATTTTATTTATTCTACGCTAATCTGTTGATCATCGAATGTGACGCAACCTTGTGCTACGGTCACCACACGTATGATGTCACCGCACGTGCAGTGTAAAAGTAGCTGTCACTTTCGTCATTTTGTGATTAATAGCGTAAGAGAAGTTTTTCTGTAAGGTCGGATGTGACTGACCCCACTGAACATGGAGGAGAAACGCTTCGTAAGTTCATTTCCTCATTCAGACAGACTTTATTCTTTATTTATCAATCTAATTTTAATTCAAGATGTACTTCAAGGCATACATGTAACCTCTTTAGTGAACAGAACTAAAATAGACTACAATCTACTAGCATTAGTACAATCTATTAATAAACTGAATCCATGGGTTACAGACTGTAGGTAATTGCCTTATCTCTGAAATGTACGGTTCTAAAATCTGATTGGCGGATCAAAAATATTCTTTTTTTTTCCTTTTTTTTCTTTTTTTGTTTGTGTTTTAAATGAAAGCAGTAATTGTAAACAATTACAACATACATAACTGCACTGGGAAAATGGGTAATGTACAAAGCAGCAAAAATTATAATTAAATATCTAATAAAATATAATTAATAAATAATAAAGGATATTTAAATTCATAAAGTGGTGAGTAGATGAAAAATAAGAAAACATTATTATTATTATTATTATTATTATTAGTAGTAGTAGTAGTAGTAGTAGTAGTAGCAGTAGTACTAAAGAACCTAAATCTTGTCAGTGTAAACTTAATAGAGTACTCTCTATAATATGCTAGAGTTGATTTGCTGGACTGGAACGTGTCGGTGTGTTCTTCATAAATTCCAACAGCGTGATTTGATCTGCCTCGTGGCTAAACTACTGTAGTATATTAGCCAGTTAGCATTACATTAGTTTTATCAGTGATTGCAGAGACGATGGAAGGAAACAAAACGACAGCGACCTCTCGTGGCCAATTATTGAATTATTCTAGTTATGAAATAACTGGATAGAATAATGTCTCACAAAGGAAAACTAGAAAGATGCACGTTAGTTCATTATGTATTAGTTTAAACTGTGACACAGGCTCTGAAAAATGACCTAAATTACCATATTTAAATAATTGAGTTTTTTTCTGTTCGTTAGATTTATAGAGTGATTACTCGATGTATCCTTATTATGTGCCCCATAATGTTTGCTTAAAGGGGAACATTCTACATAATTGAATGATTCAGATATTCAAAGCCATTCAGAGTGGCTTTGGTGTGAAACGCTCTGTTCCAGAGAAACTCACCGAATCAGAGCTCTTCACAGTGGTGGTGACAGGAACCAGACGTCCACATCTAAAGGCTTCATCTCAGAAAGTTATTGCAAGAATTGGTCAAATATATACTGCCTGATGTCTGAGACACTATTTTATGACAGTTTGTGATAAATTTTAATCCATTTAAATTATTGTAATGCATTTATTTTAATCAATTCATGGCATTGTAAAGCAAAAGAGTCGTAAAAGAAAACTTTTATTTTTGACATCATCAACTTGACATATAAAAACCCAGAAGACACGTGTAGGTTCACTGTGGTTTTGGACAGTAAATAAAATGGCTGTATTTGTGATGTAGACATTGTGACCCATGGTTCCCATCACCACCACAGTAAAGTTTATATGTCAAGGACTGAATTATTAATGTATTTTGAAAAATTAGTGGAACTCCCCTTTAAAGGTAAAATTAAGGCACAAAAAGGTAACACGATTATTCCTGTTACTGATTTCACATTGCTAACAGGCTAAATGTCACACTTCTTTCAGCTCTTTGTGCTAAATGTAGTTTGTACACATGTATGTTTTCAGTTGTTAAGCTGCAGTGACATGAGCACAGTGCCCTTTGGTGAGTCCTTCACAACAATATTCGAAACCATAAAGGGCAGAATTTTTGCTGAAATCCACACAGAGGTCACCAGATCACTGAGGAATTTACAGCCACCAGAGATCAAAGACACTCTGAGCACAAGAGCAACTTTTGATCTTACTTTAAATATTCTGGACGACTCACTGAAACAGGTTAGATACAATATTTACAAGATTTTCATTCCATTTCCATCATTATTCAAATACCTTTTGTCCCTCCAAAGCTGAGTTGCTAAATTCAACGTGAAACACATTTCATGTAAATACTTATATTATTTTCTTGTGTTTTATTATGTCATTTATTGTTACATTAGGTGAAGTCCGCTCTGATGGAGATCTATCTTTATAGCTCCTGTACCGCCAGTATGAACCTTGCCAAAAAGCTGCTGCTTGTAACTGTGACCAAGATCCAGGATTCTCTGCAAATGTGCACAGTGTTTGGCTTGTTGAGTGTCATTAGAGGATCTCCAGTCAACACAAATGAACAGCTGGATGATTTGCTGCCATTTGTAACAGCAAAGGCTGTGGGAGCTGTTTTTCAAACTATGTTGAGCATCTGCACTGAAGGAACATTGAAGGAGTCGACAAGATGTGGTTCAGCTACGCCGCTGTATAACTTTATTCAGGCTGTGGCTTCACTTGACATCACTTCTGAGGTTTCCCCCAGTGCAACCACACACAGGCAGTCTACTGGTGAAACTTGTTCTAATGTGGTTGAAGGACGGTTTTTTACTTCACTGACACTGGCAGAGACTGATACTGTGAAGGCAGAGAGCCAGATAAGACCTCGCTGTGAAGGGGTCTTGGCGAGCATCATCTTCAACTGTGCCAACTGGCAAAATGACACAGACACCACTAAGAGGTTCTTCATGTGCTCCTCTAAGGCTTTCATGGTCGAGACCTCCAAGGTGATCAGCTACATCATTACTAATGAGATTCTGAGCACTCCCCCTGCCTCTGACTCTAAACTGGAAAGCAGCACATTAGGTACAGCCTCAGCAGTGATAAGTGCTCTGACATCTGAATTAATCAGCACCTTTGAGGACTTTGAATTAGCGGACCCTACCATTGATCCAACCCTGTATACAGCACAAGTCCAGATGGTGTCTTTAAAAGTCCTGAAAACAACCCAGGGTGCAATGAAGGATTTTCTTATCAAAGGTTTTGTCAAAAGAGCGAATGGAGACAAGACCAACCAAGATTCAGAGTTTAATCTCCTTTTTGATTCCAAATGGATTATAAATTTAATTATTGAAAGCGTTATGGCCATTGTAGCTCTCTCTGAAGGCAAAGACTCTGCAGAGCTTATAAAAAAACAATTTCTGCAGTCTTTGGAAGAAAATGTGGATCTATTCATGTGGGAGCTCTCAAGATCATTTGACACATATCTAGATTCTCTTAGTGACTTGATTATTACTGATAAAGTGTTGGACCATGGCTTTTGTCAGCAACATGTGAAGGAAGAAACAAGATGTGGTGCTGCTCAGGAATCCCAGTCAAAAACTGCAGGTTGCTTTGTGAGGTCGACCGCAAGGAGACTATTCCAGCGATTCTGGAACTTTATTTCTTGCTGTGGGATCAGCCAAGCGCAGCCTGTCTCATCTTTGAGGATGCCTGAGCTGCAGAATGAGATGCAAACCCTGTCACTGATGTCCTCTCAAAGCAGTGAGAGCTTACTGGTCAAACTGCCCAATAATGTCATCATTGAGATTGACTCAGATGAGTTCATTGTCGTCCCATCTCGTCTGCTCTCACATGTCCTGGAGTCTGACATTAACACAACACAGGTGAAATGGATAGACTCCATGAGTGACCCCTCAGAGGACTTTAGGAAGGAAAAGTCGATTCCAACAGGTAAATATTGTACTATTCATCTCTCAGACTTCAGTTTAAGTCCATCGCAGGGCGCTAAAAAATCTAAACACCCAAATGAGTTGGCAGAGAAAATCAGGTATAGTTTAGGTAGACCCATTTGTTAGCTTAGGTAATTAGCTAGAGGTAACACCTCAAATTACTATGCTATGGTCAAATAGGTCATATAATTAAATGGATATCTTGTGTTCCTGAAGATCGTCTGAAGAGGGAGTACATTAATTTGATAGTGTCATTCATGCTATTATATATTTAATACTTTACTGAGAAAATTGTATGGAATCAACAGAGAACCCTCAAGTCGCTGCTGCCTTCTGGCTCTCCTTTTGTCTTTAGGCTGTAAAGTCACTGCTTTCACTTCATTAAAAGGTCCATATTGTGGAAAACTTTTTGCACATTTTCACTCCCCAGTCCATACATGGAAACTAAGTTGTGAAAACCGTCTTCAGGCTTCTGATGTCATGAACACAACACATTTACCTGTATACACCTATTCAGCCTTCAGCAGTTTAGCTCTGCCATTCACATGAAGCTTGAAATTGTGTTTTAGCCTGGACTCTTTTTGAGTGAGACAGAATAGAGGACAGCCAATCAGGATAAAGGTCTTCTACATATTTCTTAAAGGCACAGTAACAAACAGTCTGTTTAATTTTAATGGATTAAGAAGGGGCTGGAAAACAGTTGTGTAAAAATGAATTACGACTGCTCCTTTTATTTGTTCCTCAGTTATGACTGCTCCTCAGGGGGGAAAAATAAAATGAAGGAAAAATATAGGATGGTCCCTTTAACACTATATTTTAAGCCCAGTCACCCAAAGCAGAGCTGACTGTCTGTGTTTCTTTGTGAAGCTGAACAACGGCCCACCCTGTCTGGCTTGATGCTGATGCAAGATTGACTTTGATCAGGTGTTCCTTCCTGCTCACCTGCCCTCCACTTTGACCACCTTGGAGTCTCCTGCAATTTACTCTCCTGCTGTGCAGGAAGCCTTACCTGCATGCCCCATTCACCCACTTGAGTGCTTACCTGGTCATTACATGCCCTCACAGCAATCCTGAATTTACTTCAGATGATCATTCTTTTTATATGGCCTCTGATAGGTTTCTAGATTCTAATACTCATACATCATTGGTCTTAATGGGTTCATCTAATTAGGCTCACTTCGTTATTCATTAGTGTATATTTCTAAGACACTTCTTTATTCATTACTCTTATTGCTTGTTTTTCTATCTGGTGTTGACCAGTGAAGGATGGGATTCTCTTAAGGTTTCTGCCTTTTGCTCTGTGGAAGTTGTTCTTCTTGTCACTGTCTTGCTTAGCTTGGTCACTTAGGGCTGGACCTGGGTTTCTGTAAAGCCGCTTTTTAAAAAAGTGCTATACCAATCAATTTAATTTGAATTTAATTTAAATGTATCAGATCTACTCAGCTGTAGCTGCTGCAACTCCAGTGACATGATTGTCTCTTCCACGACTCCTAAATGTGGTAAAATCCCAAAACATTTCCTTCAGTCAACTGTAAGTTAAAGGTGACAGCTGTAACTACATCTTGTTAAATGCCCAGGAGGTTCTCTTCTACATATTTCAGCTACATTAAACTCAATAGTCGAGCATAAATAACCTTACGTTTAAGGTGATAAAATAGTGAAAAATCTGTTCTCTTATGGTACTGTTTTGCTTTACGGCACATTTACCTCTCCACCACTAATGGATTTTGAAATCGCTGTTGCTTTGAAATTGTTGCTACTGCCTGATTATCATTGTACCCCTGGACACTGATTATTTGTTAAGGAAAAGGACACATAAAGTCATAGTTAGCTTTCATAAACAGGTAACCTGCTGTCTTTTTATTTTGGTTGCTATAGGGTAAATAATGTAGGGATACATCTTAAGCTGTTTGTTATTAAATGCAGGATTAAAAACGTTGTTTGGCTGATTTGCATACTGTGACATGTCATGGTACTTTGGTACGAAGACACGTCATCCGCGCCAATAGCAGAGTTGAACCAGAGGGGCGCTGCAGAGGCGGAACTGACCACGAAAAATGATACTTTTACAGTTTGGAAAGATGAGTTCACATTTTAAGCACATTTTTCATTTCATCGTGTCAGCAAGGCTGGTATATATTATTATTATTGCAGAGTAGTGCATTTCACCTGTTAAGGAAAAAGGTGTTAGGGTGTAGGTACTCTTTAAGGGTTGAAAAATGTTAATTCTGGTATTGACGTTTCATTGCGAAATAACATCACGGCTGTGTTTTGGTCGCAGTAGATCATCAGATGTTATTCGCAATAACACACGACCTCAAGTGTTCTATTGCTTTTATACCACAGTTAAATAAATAAAGTAAGAAATAAGTAAATTGGGCCATGAATGTGGCATTTAATATGTTTTAAGGTTAGAAATTACGGTAACACTTTCTATGAATGTCACCTTTGTAAGCATCTATAAACACTTTCATAACATGTTATAATGCATTCATAAGACATTATAAACATAGCTATAAATATTTATAAAAATGCATTATACGTTATAGCCATGTTTATTATGCATTATGAATTGTTAACATAATACATTATAAGTACTGATCATAACAAATTATAAGAGCTCATAAGTCGTATTTGTCCGCTCTAAGTAAAGTGAAGCATACTGTACTAAAGCCTCCTCCAGTGTTAAGAGTGAGGCATCAAGTTGAAGTATTTACTGAAGAATTTACTGAAACACTAAAACATACATAATAAAGCACATTACAGGCTTCAAATGTCAGAGTTTAAACTAGTGCTGCCATCAGTGTTTTACCCAATGTGGGAAAGGTAATGTACACCAGTGTTAGCTTGGTATTTGTTTTTACTTTACACTCTCCAAGCTGGGACTGACTTCTTTGTCACTGAAATTATAACATGTTATTAACACTATTTATAATGCATTATATTAACAATTCATAATGTATAATAAACATGGCTATAAAGTGTAATCCAGTGTAATTCTTTTTTATAAATATTTATAACCACGTTTATAATGCCTTATGAATACATTATAACATTATAAATGTGTTTATAGATGCTTACAAATGCGACATTCATAGAAAGTGTTACCGTAATTCCTTCCGCCAAATTATAGTTCCTTAACAGCAGCTTGTTGCTATGTCAGAGTAACGAACTCTGCTCACCCGCTGCACAGTATGCTGTAGAAGGGGCTAAGCCTTTTGATATATAATATTTAGCTGAATCTAGTAAGGCGTTATAATAGCTATTTAGTTCAAAATTTGTAGGGGAAAAGGAGGGCAAGGTGTTGGACCCTTGTTGGCCGAAGGGCAGAGACCTTAAAAGTGTATCTTCCCATTCTCTAGAGCTGTCTGATTCAACATCTGATTGTACATCTGTCAACTGCTCTTCATAACAAAATAAATCAGCTTCTTCATTCAAACAAGTTCCTTCCCTTCCCAAGACGCTGCTTCCCATCGCCTTTGCTTGAATGCTTCAGGGCCAACTTGGAATGGACAGCTTTTAATTTCTGCTCACTGACTTCGGCCTTGTTTTCATATCCTATTGCAAGGTCAAATGAACTGTCTGATTCACTGTCTGACTCTGACGCATATTCTTCATCTGATAATGACTTGTTCTCATCAGAACTTGCATTCCTTTCCCCCTAGTATCAGAAAATAGAAGATCACTATACAACACTCTGTATAAAATGGTAACAGTTCATAAAACAGACTGTAAATATACTTACCCTTGACACCCGATCTCTGCCGTTCTTTTCAAGTTTTTCAAAGCAGGACTTGTGCCAGAAACAAGAGCAGACTAGAAGAGAGAAACAATAAAAGCACTGATGCTGTGATATACACAGTAAATTAAGGAACACACCTCAACAGCAGTTTTCACCTAACCTGACAAAACTGTGACAAAAGATTTCACTCAGCATCAGAAACCATCAAACAAATTTTCATAATATCCTTATTCCCCATTGTGTGGAAACAGGTTTAATAATTCATTTTTTCCACCCATTGACAATCACTTTCAAAAATGGCATAGAAAAAAATATCACAATTTGATTAATATAAGAAAACCACCTTACTCTGAAATAAACGCATATCCATAAAAGACATGCTGATCATTTGCAGTTTTATACATAGAACTGTAGTGACTGTTACTGACCGTTACATCTCAGACCAATCCACTTGAGTGATGCAACAGGTCCAACACATGCAATGCATTTGTTCATGCTTGAAACAGTTGCAAGGACAATTTCATGTTTACAGTTCTGTTGACACATGATTAAATCAGAAAATCTCTTAAAATCCTGACAATGATAGTGTGAATTCTATAGTCAAAAAATTACAGAAATGAAAAACATTTTGATGGTATGACAAATCTGAAAACAGAAACTGTGTACTGTGTAAACTGTGTCTTTTTGTAATGCAGAAAATGATTAAATCATTAAAAGCCCCATATTCTATATTTTTCTTTATTTTGTTTTTCTTCTGAGGTCTAATGTTTGTGTGATTCTGTGTATTAAAAACAGTCATCTTTCATTTTTACATGACCAACTTCACTTTATCCCTTAGAATTTAACAGGCTGTTTTTGTTCCTTTGCTTTCAAGCTTACTCAAAAAGTAGTGCAGGCTAAAACTTCTGTGTGAGTGGGTGGTGCTAAACCGCTGTAGACGGAACAGGTGGAAATGTGTAAATGGAATTCAAAAAGGGCTGTTTTTGCAGCTTAGTTTCCAATGACTGAATGGTCTGGGGAGTAAATGATACAACTTTGACACTTTGACAGTGTTCACATACCACATCCAACTCTTATCTAAAAAGGCCGTCCCTGGCAGGGAAAACACTAAATGTGCAGGGCAGGTGGTCTCCAGGAGCAGAGCAGGGGGTCTCCAGGAGCAGGGCTGGGAAACACTGATCTGGATCTTGCACTGATTATGTTCTCTAATGGACCACCGTCATTACACATGACACCGTTAATCAAAACAGAGGCCAAAA